AGGCCCAGGTGATCCCCTCCTTAAGCCTGAGGTGGGAGGTGGGCAGCAGCCCACCTGTACCTGATGCAGGTACAGGTGAGGGCAGGGCCTGAAGCCTCGAGAAGCCCATGGGCTGCTAAAGGAGACTCCATTCTGGGTGAGGCCCAAGACCTGCTGGTCACGCTTCCTCCCAGGCCCAGGGATTCTGGGTCTGGGCAAGCCTGGGCCTGATCCCTCCCATGGTCACTGCCCAGCAGGGAATCTGCTAGGGGTGGAGCTGCCCATGGGGAACTTGCCTGCCCGCGACCCTGGCTGCCTCCTCCAGCCCTCCCGCAGGTCATGTTGGGAGCTTGAGGCCACAGCTGCCAAAGAAATGCCAGGGTGCATAGCACTGTGGGCCTTGGGGTGGGGATGGGGGGCCAACAGGGTGAGTTTCCAGCTCCTTCTAAAATGCAAAACTGACTTTGCCATTCCCTGCTTCTGATCCTTCCCTGGTGCCATCTAGGTGATCAGGACGGCATTTGGCTCTGGCCTCGGCCTATGAGGCCTTCTGTGATGTGGTTTCGAGGCCCCTCCTGCCTCACCTCTTGCTCTTCCCCACCCGTGAATCACTTTCCATTTCCCTCTGCCTGAATGCTTGGTACTCAAAGGCCACCCCAGCACCCAGCTAAGTCCTACTCATCTTCCACTTGCTGCTCCAGGAGGGGAGTGGCTCTGACCCCCATCTGGTTCCTCCCTGCAGCCCCACAGCTCCCGCCTCCCCCTGCCAGCTCAATGAACCACTGAGTGGCCCCAGATGTCACACTCTTGACCAAGTCACTGAGGATCCCACTCTAACAGCCTCTCCCCAGCAGTTCCCTTCCCAGACTGCAGGTCCTGCAGTGTGCTCACCTGTCCCAGTGCAGGGTCCACCTGGCTCTACCAGGAGCCAGCTTACCCAGCCTTCCTAAGTGTTGGTCTCGGCTGCCCTGCTCCTGGGGGTCCGCTGAGCCTGCATGTGGGGCCTTGATCATGTGGGCCTTATGGAGCTGTCCAGGCTGGGACTGACATCTTTCATGTTGTTCACTTTACGGCTCCTCCGTGGGGGCCCAGGCCCCTGGGTCCCTATTCTTTGCCCTGAGCCCCCTCACCTGTGGATTCTTGCCCACTCCTCCCCCAGAGTAGTTACTTCCCTGCATCTCTGTCTTCCCTGCTCTCGGCCGCCTCTGATGGGACACTGTTGATGAGTGGAGGGCAGCCTGATCCTGCTTGTCCCTTTCCTCTCCCAGAACTTCTCAGATCAAGCTCTCCTGGTCTGAGCATGCTGCGTGTCCTATTTCTCTTATCTGAGACCCTGCCCTCCAGGCTCTGGGGCTGTCCTGGCCCTGACACCTCTGCCAGCCCTCCCTAAGGTCCTCATGAGAACTTCTCAAGTGGTCACTTGTTCACTGACAACGCCCACCCCCAACGTCCACCCCATGCCAGGCCTAGGCTAGGGCTGGGGCTGCAGTGTGGACAACAGGCCCTGTCCTCAGGGCTCCCACAGCCTGGTGGGCAAACAATTTACAGAGTCAGATATGCTGGTATTGCAGGAGGCTAGCAAGGTGCTAGGGGAGCTCAGTGGACAAACGGGGTTCCATCTGGCAGAGGGCCCAGGAAGATATATTTGAGCCTTTGCAGCCTCTAGCCATTTGGCCTCTGCCCTTCACCTGCTCATATCATCTCCTCCAATGGCCTCTGGGATGTTCAGCGATCTCTGACGGCAGCTTTGGGTGCCCGTGTCCAGACAGTCGCTTTCCCTTGAACTGACTATCTACTCTTGCAGTCCCGTCATGGGCTCCACAGGGGCGGACCTCTTGGCTGCCCCTGGAGTGACAGCCCTTCTGCTTGGTGTATCAAGTTGCTTTTAGGGACTGCTTGGGGAAGCAAAGGCTCTGACCCCTTGGAGGAGGCCACCCCTCTGGTCCTCTGAAGCTGAGGGACCCCCATGGAGGTTCTCCTCTTCTAAGTTCTTTGCCTCCCTCCCATCTGAACCAAAGGGCTCACTTGTCAATGTTGTTGAAGTTGTGAACAGATATGTTTGCTGCCAGGGTGGCCTACTCCAGGCTTTCGTGGGAGTGGAGGGCATGGTACCTACAGCAAAGCCAGCCCACTCTGATACACTGCTGGCCAGTGCCTGCTGGGAGTGGGGCAGCCAGGATGTACAGAGGGGCTGGCCTCCGTTGTCCTGCTAACAAGGTGCATGTGTGAGGGAATTGGAGGACTTTGCATGGCTGAGCTCCATTGTCACCTCCTGACCACCTCCAGGTGTATGTCCCAGGTGCTGAGTGAAGGCTGTAAGTGGAAACTGGGTAACCACCCTGATACCCTGTGAGTGGTCCTGCCAGCTCCTGGGCCTCACCTGGTACATCTCACACCAGCTAAGAATGACCCTAGAGGAACCCAGCTCCTCAGCAATTGCCCACTCTTGTCATGCTCTTGAGCCTGGTCCACAAGGCTCTTCTGATCTGACCCTGCCTCCTTCTCCACCTGAGCCCCAGCCCCAGGAAACACCTCTGTGTCTTAGAAGGGCTGTGTCAAACCCCGTCCAGTGTCTTCATACAGCTGTTAAGACTTTGTCTAATATGTTCCCTGTCTTCCCCCACCCGCCTCCATCACCATAGAGACTCACCCATAGGCCTAAGGCCCAGGGTAGGCACCTCCCCTAAGCAAAGAGGAGCGCACCTGCTCTGCTCTGTGCTATGACTGGCAGCCCCCATCACTCTGCTTGTCGTCTACTACCCCTGTTAGACTATGACCTCCCAGGGGACAGAGTCCAGGTCTTCTGGGTTATATCTCCAGGGCTTGGCAGACGGAATTGCTCAATAAACATTTAACAAATCAACTGTCTTAGTCAAGATTCCTTTGGTTACGAGTTTAGGCAAAAGGAAGTTTCTTTAGAAAAAGTCTCATAACTGCAGGAATAGGAGGGTGTGGGCGGCCTTTACTAACATCTGGAACCACCACTGACACAGCTCCAGGATTCACTTGCATCTCCTGCCCTCCTCCACTTCCTCCCTGTGACTAGGGACATGACCACCAATGGCTCCAGAGCTTTCTGGCTCCAAACCCATGGGAGAACTGGGCCACCTCTTTATAGTCTCACATTTAAAAATGCCAGGGAAGAATGCTGATTGGCCCAACTTGAGCCTATCCTCCGACCAACCACTATGAGAAGGGTGTCTAAGAAGATGGCAGTTCCCATTCAAAGCACATGGCTGGAGAAGGTTGAAGGGCAGATCCTAGGAGGAGGGCGCTGTTCTGGGCAGACAAAACAAAGTTAAACATTGCATGAGTGAATAATCAAAGAAATGAATGAGCCGAGAGCAACACAGGTCCTTACAGACAATGGTACAGCTTCTGAAGTGTTTGCAAATCATTCTCATCGGCTCTTGCAAAAGCCCTATGACCCCACATTTCACAGATGAGGAAAGAGGCTCAAAGTCACACAGTAAGTAAATGCAGGCAGATTCCACCTCCATATGGCATATGAGATGTGTGCCCTTGGAGGCCTTCCTCCCACACAGCTGTGGGCAGCTAGACCTCTCCTGGGCAGTCACTGGAGAAAAGGGCAAGTGTTAGCCTGTGAGCGAGGAAAGAGGAGACTCTGCCAAGGGTTAACTCCAAACCTATTTCTGCACCAACTCTCTTGTTTGAAACTCTTCTCTTGCCTCAGTCAGCATTGTACATGATGACACAGCTACTTCTTTGGGGATTTGAGATCATGCCATCCTTGCTTTAGGGTTAGACTATGATTCCCAGCAATGATTGTCTGAGCTTGTGACTGGAGCCATAGGGGCCTGGAACGTGGGGGACGTTATCCAGAACCATACAAATTTGAGAGGGCCCTTGACCTGGGATTTAGAGGGCAAGTGGGCTGGACAGTTTTCACCTCCTGCTAGCTCCCCCCCCACATAATCCAGGGAACGCACTGCTTTCTCTAACACGTGGCATTTTCTCCAGGGCGAAGTGATCAGCTGCTACTCTTGCTTCTTAAGGGCAAGACTTGCGTCTGTTCATCTTTTCCTCCCAGAACTTGGGGCCTATGGCGGATTGTTTGCAAAAATGGCTTCCATAACTCCTCCCATCCCTATGTGTATGCCCTTTTGCAATGTAACTTTGCTGATTCTTCCATGAGGAGGTGGAGTCTGTTTCTCTACCCCTTGAATTTGGGCTTGTCTGTGACTTGCTTTGACCATTAGAATGCTGCAGGCTAGTCCTCAAGAGCTCCTGCAGCTTTTGTGTTTGTCCTCATAGAATCTGCCAAACTGCGTGTGAACATGCTTGAGGCAGCCTGCTGGAGCCTGAGAGACCACGTGGAGTAGACAAGTGCCATCCCTACTGAGGCTCACCAGACTGACTACCACCAGTACCAAGAGTCAGACATATGAATAAGGCCATCTTGGACCTTCCAGCCCCAGTAGAGCCACTAGAAGACTGTAGCCACACTGATCACCCAGGTGAGACTAGTAGAAGAATCTCCCAGCTAAGCCCAGCTCAAATTGCTGACTCACGGACTTGTGAGCAAATAAAATGGTTGCTATTTTCAGCAGCAAAGTTTTGACGTGGTGTGTTACCCAGTAACAGATAATGGGTACACCGCAGTTCCTACTTGTAGTGGTTGAATTCTGTGTCCCAAAAAGATACACTGAAGTCATAACCCCCAGGACCTGTGAATGTGACTTTATTTGGAAATAGGGTCTTTGCTGATGTAATTAAGTTAAGATGAGGTCACACCAGATGAGAGTGGGCTCTAAATCCAATGGTTGATGTCTTTATGAGAGAAAGGAGAGGGAGATCTGGATACAGAGACAGAGGGGACCCAGAGAAGAAGGCCATGTGATGACGAAGGCAGAGATGGGGGTGGGCGTGCAGCTATAAACCAAGGAACACCAAAGATTGCCAGGAGCCACCAGGAGCTAGGAAGAGGCAAAGAAAGATTCTCCCCTAACGCCTTTGGAGGGAGCCTGGCCTTGCCAACCCCTTGATTTCAGACTTCTAGCCTCCAGAATGGTGAGACAATAAATTTCTGTTGTTTTAAGCCCCCTGTGTGTGGTAATTTGCTACAGCAGCTCTAAGAAATTAATATACTACTTCAAAAGTTTTGCTCAGAGAGTGCTGGTTGGCTGCATGGAGAAGCTGAGAAGCAGAGGGGAATTAGCCCACCCTCCATCACCTCTCCCCGCACTGGCTGCCCTTTCCATGCAGCTTGGTCACCACTGCCCAGGGCTCAGACATGCACATCTTCTTCCCAGCCCTCCAGGTCTAGCTTTAGGTCTGCCAGTCAGGATGCTTGTGGCTTTCTTTGAAATGATGTGGTGAGTGTGCGTGTGTGTGAACACACTTTTTTCTGCACATAAAAGTAGTTTATGAACCTTTAAGTATACTTGGAAAATATAACAAAGTAAAAGAAGAAAACAAAAATTACCCATAACTTTATCTTCCAGAGACAGGCATAGTCAACATTGGTTTGTAAATCCTCAGTCTCTTCATTTTTACAAATATTGACACACTATATGTGCTGTTGGGTGTCCCATGTTTGCCACTCCATAATATGCCATGGACTTTTTCTGTGTCAATAACTACAAGTCTATTTACTCAGCACACATTTATTGAATACCCACTATGTGTCAGACACTATAGAACTCCAGGATGCAGTGATGAAAAGACAGTGCATTCACAGCCCCTGTCCTCGTGAAGTTTATAGACACAGGCATCAAGCGAATAATTACACAAATGCTTTTTGATTTTCTATTTTGCGACCGTTTTGGACCTACAGACGAGTTGCAAAAATGGTGCAGAGTTCTCATACACCCTTCACCCAGCTTCCCCTGATATTAATATCTCCCACAACTATGTTACAATCCTGAAAACGAAGAAATTAACATCGGTGCAATACTATTCAGTACAGACTTTCTTTTCCACTTATATATATTTTTTCTATTCCAGGATCTAATCCAGTGTCTCATATTACATTTAGTTGTCATATTTCCTTAATCTCCTCCAATCTGTGACAGTTCTTCAGTCTTTCATGACCTTGAGACTTTTTAAGAGTATTGATCAGTTACTTTGTAGAAGGTCCCTTGATTTGGGTTTGTCTGATGTTTTCTCATGATTAGATAGAGGTTATGCATTATTGGAAAGGATGCCACTGAGGTGGCGTGAGCTTCTCAGTGCATGATATCAGGAGGTACGTGATGTCAGTATGTCTTATTACTGGGGATGTTAACCCTGGTCACTTAGTTAAGGTGAAGTCTGCCGAGTTTCTCCACTCTAAAGTTAATATTTTTCCCTTTGTCACTAACAAAAATTTGTTTTGGGGAGAATATTTTAACACTATGCAAATACCATGTTTCTTCTTAAACTTTGCCCACTAAGTTTAATATCCATGGATGGATCTTGCCTGCAGAGATCTGGTATTTTAATGGTGATTTTATATTTCTGCATTCCTTCTAAATTTATTAAGTGAAATTCTTCTGTAAGGGAAAGTTGTCACAAATACTTCTGTGACAGCAGTGAAGAGTTTTACAAGGATGCAATGAGAACATAAAACAGAGTGACCTAACTCAATTTGGGGTAGTCAGGGAAGTCTTCCCTGAAGAGGTGACATTTAAGATAAATCCTGCAGAATCAAAAGGAATTAGCAGGGCAAAGGGTTGGGGGTAATAGCATGGACAAGAAATCTACACCCAAAGCTGATAGAGACTGTGTGAAACTGCATGATCTACTCTGGCTGGGTAGAAACCTTGGCCACCTGGAGGGGCTTCCTCCTTTGAAGGGAGCACCTGCTCCTTACTCCAGCCAAAGTCTTGCCAAGTGGAAATGAGGGCCTAGAATTGCTGGAGTTTCTGGTGTTCAGGAGTAGCTGGACATCTGGACTTTTTTCCATAAAATTTCTCAATCATCTTTTTAATGTTGGCAAACAATCCCATTCTCCTTAAAAGCCAAACAAAAACCTATAAGCTGTCAGAGTTTTTTTTTTTTAAGACTTTATTGTTTTAGAGCAGTTTTAGGTTCATGGCAAGACTGAGAGGAAGGTACAGAGATTTGCCGTATATCCCCTGCCCCCACCCTGCATAGCCTCCTCAGTATCAACATCCCCCACCACAGTGGTACATTTGTTACAACTGATGAATTTACATTGACATATTACAATTGTTCTAAGTCCATAGTTTACATTAGGATCCACTGTTGGTGGTGTACATTCTACAGATTTGCATAAATGTGTAATGACCTGTATCCACCGTTACAGTATCATACAGAATAGTTTCACTGCTCTAAAAATCTTCTGTGTTCTGCCTATTCATGCCTCCCTCCTCACTTCCTTCTCACCCCCAGCTGTCGGTTTTTCATCAGTGCATGGCTGAATCATAATTTACTTATCTATCTCCTGTGGCTGGACCTTGAACTTATTTTCAATTGTTCACTGTTAATAAACAACGCTGTAAGGAACATCCTTGTACAGACAACCTTGACACCTTCTCTGGCTATGACAGTTTGCCGGGAATAGTCACTGTGGCCTCTTCATTGCCAGACCCCATGGGGCTTCCAGGCCCTGCTCTCCTTCGCCCTCCACACCTCGCCCTCCCCTGATGCCTCAGTTCTCCCTCTCCTTTTCCATTTCCTTCAAGGTCTTCGTCAACTCTGGCTGAGACCACACTGGAATCCATACCATTAGTAGAGTCTACGAGGTGGTCTGGGAGGTGGTACCACAGAAAGTGCTCAGCTCTCACCTGGGTTGAGGGGCACAGCTGTTCCTGGGGACATTTCAGGCTGGAGCCTTGAACTGGCTCACTCTGCTGATCTGCTTCCTGGAAGGGAAGGGCCCAAGGCCAGCTCTGTAAGCACTCTGATTCCTGAAAGGGCAGCAAATACACTCTTGGTGGATTCACTGAATTGCTCTGATAAGGCTGGTATGAAGGAGATAAGGAGCTCAGGCCTGATGCCAGAATCCAGAGAGGAATTCCCACCACATGGGGATGGACGAGGCTGGGATTCACTCAGAGCTGGCAGGCAGGGGCCATCGCCCCAGCTCTCTGGCCATGCCCAGCTTTCTTCCAATGGTGCCTTCTTGCGCCACTGCCTTAGTGTTGAGCCTGGACTGTTCTTACTGTGGGAGTCAAAAACCAGCCTGACACATGGTGGAGGAATGGAGGGGAGAGAGGAAGGGCAGCTTTCCTTGCCCCTACAGTTCTTACTGAGGGAGGCAAGAGAAAACTTTCTTTCCTGCTTGTCCTGAAGAAGCCTTCATCTGTGTCCAGGTAGGAGGTGAGGGTGGAACCCTGATGGCTGCTCCTGGGGGATGGAGGAGGGGGATAATTCATGCTCTGAGTCTTGAATCAGTCCAAGTGGCAGTTTCTGGGGGATTTTTAAAGATGTGAATAAAATGAAGATACAAGAGAGTCTGGATGTCAGTGGGCTTCCTTCTAGAATAATTTTAAAAATAATAAAAATTACCATAAAAATAATAATGTCCCCATTTACTGAACACTTACTCTACGTCGGACATCTTGCTGAGGACTCGTTATACATTACCTCATTTAACCTTCCTGCCAGCTCCCAGAGGTTCAGATTAACAGCCTTGGTTTCATGACGAGCTTAAAAACCTGCTCCGAAGTTGTATTAAGGCCAGGACAGTGAGTGGGGACAGGCTTGGCTACCACAGTGTCCAGAAATCCCCACCTGGACACAGCGGACAAGACCCTGATGTCCACAACACACCCACTCATCTGTCTTGTGTTTGTTCTCAGGAGCCCTAGAGCATGTGCCATCACCCTGAGACCTTGCTGATTCCCCGGGCTGGGTGAGCATGTGGAGGATGGACTCCCAGTCCCCAAAAGCTTCTACTTTCTGAGTCTGGGCCCTAAGGAGAGATGCCCTCGACTGATGGACCAAGATGCCCAATGTCCCCTCACCTGGGAAGGGTTTCATTCTAAGTTGGACTTTTCGTAATCTCCCCTGCCTCTGTGGTTTACAGGGTTATGCATACTCAGACATTTGTGATGATGTGATGGTCACTATTTCTAACATGAGCTCTTTGGAGGCTCATGAGATCCTGTGTTTTATAGATTCATTTTCTCATTCATTTGTTGGGGCTCACTGAGTACTCACTGTACTTGGCACTGCTAGAGGGACTGGGAACACTGCAGTGAGCAAGGCAGATGTGGCCCCAGCTTTCTCGGGCTTATATTCCTGTGGGAAAAATCCTCAATGAAGTACTAGCAAAATGAATCCATACAAAAAAGATTATACACCATGACCAAGCAGGATTTATCCCAGAAATGCAAGGTTAGTTTAACATCCAGAAATCAATGTAATTCTCCATGTTAACAGATTTAATGAGAAAAATCATATGATCATTTCAATAGTCACAGAAAAAGCACGTGATAAAATCCAACACTCTTTCATGATGAAAACACTCAACAAACCAGGAATAGAAGGGAACTTCCTCACCTTAATGAAGGGCACCTACAAACACCTCACAGCTAACATCATACTTAATGGTGAAAAATTGCTTTGCCCCTAAGGTCAGGAACAAGACAAGGATTTCTGCTCTCACCAGTTCTATTCAGCATTGTTCTGGAGGTTGTAGCCAGAGCAATTAGGCAAGAAAATTAAATACAAGGCTTTTGGAAAGGAAGAAGTAAAACTATCTCTATTTGTAGATGACATATTCTCGTGTAAAGAGAATCCTAAAGAATCCACTAAAAAACAATTAGGACTAATAAACAAGTTCAGCGAGTGGCAAGACACAAGATCAATATACAAGAATAAATTTTATTTCTGTACACTAGCAATAAACAGTGCTTAAACGAAATCAAGAAAACAATTCTATTTATAATAGTATCAAAAAGAATAAGATGCCTGGGAATAAATTTAACAAAAGAAGTGCAAGACTTATACACTGAAAGCTACATTCTAGTGGGAACAGTTGAGAAAATGGAGGGACATCAGTTTGGCCAGGCCACACTGTCAGGGAGGAGCAGGCAGACCCAGCAGGACTGTAGCCTCAGCAATTGGTGCAGGTGCGCAGAGCTCCGTGCCCATCTGCCTGCCTCTGCCTGCCTTCAGTGCCCTTTTGCCTCATTTAGGAAGGGGATTCTGGTGGCCTTGGCCATAACATCCCTGCAATTAATGTCCGTATTTCAAGTTGCACAAGTTGGGGGAACTCAGTGGTACAAAGTCCAAAATGGCTTCTCATTTCGAGAAAAGGAGGTGACACTTTCCAGAGGCCTTGCCTCTTTAGGCTTTGGGTGCAGGCTGCACCTTGGAATGGAAGGTATCTGCTACCTCCTGCTTCTGGAAATATGCAAGCTTTTTTAAAAATCAACCTTTTATTTTAGCACAATTTTTGATTTGCAGAATTATTCCAAAGACAGTACAAAGAGTTCCTGTGTACCTTGCACCTAGTTTTCCCTGTTATTACCATCTTAATTAGTATGGTTACATTTGCCACAATTAATGAACCAGTATTGACGTATCATCGTTAACTCAAGTCCATCCTTTATTCAGACAGCCTCAGTTTTTCCGTACTGTCCTTTTTCCATTCTAGGATCCCCTCTGGGATACCATAGCACATTTAGTTGTCATGTCTCTCACGCTCCTCTTGCTTGGGACAGTTTAAATGCAAGTTTTAGCTTTGACAAGAGGATGTAGAAAGAGTCCGGGCTCTGGAGTCAGACAGACCTTGACTCAGATCCCAGTTCTGCCTTTATTAGCTAGAGACCTAGAGTAATTTATTTAAGCCCTCTGAGCCTTAGTTTTTAAATAGAGGCAATAATCTCTAACTTGCAGGGTTGTATCCCGCAAGAGAATACATGAGAAACACCCAGCCCAGTGCCAAGCACACAGCTGTGCTCCACAATAACAATATTAGTGATGTGTCCACTTGCCTCCCCCTCCTTCCCAGGCTGCTGCACCTCCTAAGCCACTGCCCTTTTCCTCTCTCATCATGCACGGTGCCCAGCAGGAGCACTCGCCCCTGACACATGCTGCATAGACCTAACAGAAGGGCTGGAATGAAAGGCAACACCTATTTAACACCTGCTGCTCCACGACCGCTGGGTTTTCCCCATTTTTCCAGTCGACCTGCGGTCCAGGCTTGTGGGCCAGCACCTCTCATCATGGTGACCTACTTGTTGGGAATGCACAAGGCTGTCTGCTCCCGGACTTGAGTCAGCACCTGGTAGCTCTGACATACTCCTGCCCAAACCTGACCTCACCCAGCCTTGCCTCCTGAAGGCCTGGTGGTGAGGGGATGAGCCTGCTGCTTGCTCCTTTGGGGCTGTGTTGGCAGGGCCATCTGGACACGAGTGAACTTTGTCCTGTCCGTCTCTCTGCCTCTCACTGAGGACGCTGGGTGTTTGCTCCTATTAGAAACTCTCCCGGAGGGAGAGCGAGTCCATGTGCAGGGAGCATGTGTGCATTTCTGGGGGTTGTGTTTGATGTGGGTGTGGGTGTGAGTGTGGGCCTACAAGAGTATGTATGTGTGTCTGTGTACACATGTGTATGAAAGTGTGCATGCCCACTTTAGTGTACCTGAAGGTTTATGATGGATGGGGGCAGGTATGCTTGTGGCCAACCCATGAGTATATTTCGAGGCTGGGTGTGTGTTTGGTGGAGTCTGGAAGTGTGTATATGTGACTGGGTGTGCGTTTGCAGGTGTGAAACTGTGTTCAATAAGAAAAAGGAATCTCCACATACCATGGGCTCAGAGGCAGAAACAAATCAGATGGATGGAACCTTCCCTGTAGTCATGGCCCTGCACCTATGTGGACACACGAACGCAGCTCAAACCGCCTCCTGGGCTACAAGCACCTCTTCTGTTCAAAGATGGAGGTAGATCACGGAGCATGGCACACCATGTCTTTTTACCAAGAGAACGGCCTGTGTTTGGTGTTCTGGTTGATCCTCTCATCGGGCGTTGAGAGCTGGCTCATAAAGGAAGAAGGCTCTGAAAGGAGGGAGACGAGGTACAGGGAAACTGTGCTCCCATTTAGGATCACTGTGGCTCCAGGGAGGCCCCGCCTGGGCTTGAGACACTGCATGGAGCTCTGAGGGGACGTGGAGCACCACAGGTCCGCCCTGGTGCAGGAGCCACCTCAGGGAGCTGCAGGCCCCACAGGATCCAGGGAGGTCATCCTTAGGGCCTCCCCTGCCGAGGGATCCCCCCTCATCCCCCCTTACAATGCTCCCTCACTTCTTGCCCCCTGCCCCTTGCTGCTCAGGGAGGCTTCAATCCATCAAAGTCCAAGTTTGTAAAACTCTCCTTTTATTAAAGCTTCTGTCTGGAATGCGCCTTCCTCAGATACACACATGGCTCACTCCCTCACCGCCTTCAAATCTTTGCTCAAATGTCACCTTCTCAATAACCACCCCTCTAAAATTGCACCTCTCCCCCTGGTCCGGCCACCTTGCTTTAAACGGCTCACCTCTTGCCCTCCTCTCTTTCCTCCCAAAGCTCTTAGCACCTTCTCACACAGTGTGGACCAGCACACAAGAGGACGTGAGCACAGAAATTGAGAGTAAGCATTTAGAAACTCGGAACTATAGCATCTATAGCAATTTGACATTGCTCAGAAATCCAAATGCCAATCGGAAATAAAGAAGCTGGTTTTTTGCCCCAGATGGTTTAAGAATCATCATTCTTGTACACTCCATAAAATGTATTTAATTTCCTGTTTGTCTTCTTCCCACCCCTCTGCTGCTTGAATGCCAGCTCCACAGGGCAGGGATCTTCTCTGCCTTCCTCCCCACCGCCTCCCCAGCACCTAGAAGAGTGTCTGGCACATAGTGTGTGCTTAATGGATATTTGTTGAATGAGTGAATTTGGAAGAGGTGGTCTGAGAGGGTGAAGAATCATCAGTTGGACACGGGGTGGGAGGGCAGCAAATGCTCCCTGTACCCCATCCCTGCCTGGCTGTGAGCACAGTGCTCTTGGTCTGAACCCCTGTGAGTTGTTCTTGGGGTTCAAGTACCATACAGCATGGCTGGGAACTGTTGCCCCAACAAAAAGTGTCCCACTCTGCCCCTGCCCCTGTGCCCACCCCTAGCCCCTAGCCTTGCCCTTGGCCCATTCCCAGAGGGAGCTCGGGGGTGACAGGGCCAGGCAGAGCTGCTCTCTTGGAGGTGGAGAGAGTTTGATTCCACCTGCTGTTCCCACGGCTGGGGCTGGCTGGGGCCCACGTGGCAGCAGCGCCTGGGCCTGTCTCATGGGCCAGCCATCCGGCAGGGCCGGTTCTGGGCTCACACACCCACGGCCGCTGCCTGCTCAGTCACTCTTCTCCACTTTGGCCCAAGCCCTCAGGCTCAGCTTCTCTTTCTCTGACTCCAAGACTCCACCCACAGAATCTCTTTCATCCTCTCCTTCCTCCTCCCCTTCCTCCAGAGAATGGTGGGGTCTGGCCAAGAAGGAGGGGCATGGGCCCTCTAGCCAAAACATCCCAAGGGGCTAGTGCAGTGCTCAGGGCCACTGGTGACCCCAGCACGGGGATAAGGAGTAACTTTTGTATAATTGATGATCAGTTACATCTTCTTATCTGCTTCTTCTCAACCAAGCAGAGCCACAGACTAATGTCCACTAACAAAGGTCCCTCAGTCTGTGAGTCTGACCTCTCCTCCCTCTCCTGGTCCTGGGGAACATAAAGGAAGCTGGAGGAGGGAGGTTGCCAAGAGGAAGTGACACTCAAGCTGGCTTTTGATGGATGAGTTTTGAGTTAACAGCCCAAGAGAGGAGAAAAGAGATGAGAAAGGCATTCTAGAGAAAAGGGAATGGCATGTCTAAAGGCCCAAAGGTAAGAGAGACCACAGGTCCCTCAGAAACATCCATCCGGTGTATGTACGGCAAGGTGTGCACAAGAAGGTGATGGAATCCAGAGCCAGGAAAGTAGATGGGGCCAGTTCTTGTCCAGAATACTCGGTTAGCCAACACTTATGAGCACCTCTGTGCTTGGCTCAGTATGGGGTGTCAAGATAAAAGAGATGATAGGAACATAAAGATGTCTGGACACACAATTTGCCTTATTCATCACTGTACCCTCAGTGCCTGTCACAGTGCTGGGCACATGGCAGGCACTCAATAAACATCTGTAAACACAAATGAATGAACGAATGGATGAATGAATGAATGAAGAGATGGCACAGCCACTCTTCACAGCCACAGAGAAATAGGATGGAGTAAAGAGAAGTCAGTCTTGCTGAGGCAGAGAACCCAAACCTTAGAGAAAAGCCTCTGGAAGGAGAACTGTTTCTCTTTATTTTAAGTTAAAGTAGGTTATTGCAGTTTTCAGGGCAGACCTTAGCTGTGGCTTGTGCAGTTAGTCACTCTATGGCTGAGATTTTGGTATTTTTGCTGCTGATGCAACCCACTGTGAGGATTTCCACAGCACATTGTGTTGAGCAAGCAGAGGCTGCAGAGGAGAGGCTGGGCAGGGCCTCCTGGAGCTGGAAAAGATGGCCAAATTGATGCAAGAAGAGGCAAACCTGTGCAGGGAAATGTCCACATGGTTGCCCAACCACACCTGGAATGTGGCCCTAGGTAGGAGCCTTTGGACTCACAAGAGGCCTTTATCTGAGGACAGTTCGTGACATTTGGCCAGCACAGAACTGAAAGCTGACAGACAGGCCCTCAGAGTAGAGGAGAAGGTGTCCGTGCTACAGTCGAGTGGTGTGGCTCTCCAGGGCACCCAGAGAACCAACTGTCAGATGTGTCCCCTTCCCTGCCCCACTGTGACTAGGGGCTGGAGATTTGCTTGTTGGGTGAAAGCAGGGTACAGACGTGGGCCAGCCACAGGTCTGGTCCTTGGCAGCTGGTCAGCCTTATTGTCCAAGCTCTGTGATGATACCCCCTTGGCCTCGCGCCCTCTTGTTGTGGGCACCTCTGCCCCAGGGGAGAGGACTAGGTTATAGTGAGTAGCCAGAAGCAGCCACTCTGTCTGGCCCAGGTGGAGAAAAGCTGCAGCTTCGTTTGTCTCCAGCTCGAAGCTTTACCTGAGAGACACAAGGATGAGCCCAAGTCACGGGCACCTCCCAGAGCTTCGTTCCTTTGGGGAGACACGATGCCCGATGCCCAGATGCAGATTTACTGTGAAGTTAACGGAGATTATGCCTTGAGGTGCTGTCTTGAACAAGCCCCTTCCACGGGTCTAGACCTAATTTTCTATTTGCCATTTTGCAATCTTTTTCTTAAAGAGGGTCCCCCAAATTATATAAGCTTCAGGCACCACAAAATTGAACCCATCCCTGCCAATGCTCCTTGACCCTGGAAAACCTTGAGCAGGCAGTGGGTGTCTGGGAGGCTCAGGGCTCAGGGATCTCCTTCCTGAACCTCAGGCCAGGATCTCTGCTCCGGCAGCCTTGGGGTGTGATGGTGGAGGGCTCAGCTCAGAGCAGTGTCCTCTCTGTGGCCCAGCAGAGGTGTGCCGGAGCTGCCGGCCAGGCTGGATGCAAGGAGACTGTCAGCTGTGGAAAGATCAAAGTGTCAACCCGAGAAATAGAAGCCGACAAGTGTGAACGCACCAGATCAAACAGCACTTCTAATTGCATCCATATGGCCCACTGGCGGGCATTTAGTGATGACCCGTGGTTGACCACTGGCTTAAAATGGATATAAAATACCATTTATGATATAAAATGCCATTGAATTGTACACTTTGAAAGGGTGAATTTTATGGTATGTGAATTATATCTCAATAAAAAAAGGATGCTGAGAGCTTGGTTGCTTTGGTGCTTTTCTGGTGTATTGGATCCAGGCCTGGTGGGTCCATGCAGGCACTGCTTGGTGCTGGGGTCTCTGGGAATCACTCACACACAGCCAGGGCTGTTCAGGGACCAGTGCATCCTGGCTGGGTCCTCACTGAGCTAGGAGACAAGGTCGTGGCCACTGCAAACAAGTTTCCTGTCCAGCTGGGGTCCTTGGGGGCAGTGGAGCAGCTTCAGCCATTTCTGGGCCCCAATTTGCTGCCCCTATCTCGACACATTTCGCCAAGCCCTCCGAGCCTGACACATGCTTGAGCCAGGGGGAGAGTTAACGATTAACCCAGAGGTAAGAGAAGGGAGAGGGCTGGGACTGTGCTCACAGTTCGCCTCCCCACCCTCGGGGCAGTGTGCGGCTCATTCTGAGCCACACTCCCAGCCCTGTTAGTGGAGGCACTGAGGGAGGGCAGAGCAGAGCAGGGCTGTCCCTCACAGAGGACCTGGGACCCCAAAGGACCCAGACGAGCCAGCTGTGAGACCCAGGCACCGGCCCCCTCATGGCCCAGGCCCCCTTGCCACAGGAGCACACGGGCAAACATTCCCCTCCCCAGGGCCTGCCCTACCCCACCTGCAGCTCCCCCGGTTCTGAGCTCTGTTAGGAGGAATTTCAAAGTGCACTGAGAAGCCTACTCGACCCCTTTTCTGAGAATAAATATCTTCTCAGGGCCACTGGTGACCACGTGGCTGGAGAGGGCACCTTTCTCTGTGATGCATGCTCAAGCACACGTGCACAGATACACACACAAATACTCACGTATGTACACGCGCTGGGCACACGGGGATTGGTTTCTTCATCCCACCCCCCGGGTCTGGGCCAAGAAAATACGGAAGTGACTCTTGCCAGACTAGCTCCTGCAGAAGGCACAGGTGCTCTGAGCCCCTGGCCAAAGGTGCTGGGGATGGGACGGCGCTTCTGTGAGGGCTTATTGCACCCAGGTCTGAGCTGCCCTCCAAGGGCTCTTCGGGGCAGGTGGAGGTGGACAGGATACTCGTTAAACTGTTCTTTGGAACCCCCTGCCCCAGGCCCTGCCGTTTTGCTTGGGCACCACGTCTTAGCATACCATGGGCTGGTATGGCCCGGGGAGGAGGGGCCTCCAGGGACCAGGCCTGCATCTTAAGAGAGCAGCCTATCCCCATGGCAAACTCCAATCCAGGCCCTGGTGGGAGGAGTTGATACTGCCCAGGTAGGGGGAAGCAAGCTGGAGAGGGCTGGGGTGGAGGTATGGCCACGGGGGTGGGGGTGTTGCATCTGCATTGTGCTGGGTGGGGAATCCCGCATGGAGAGCTCCCCATCTGCTGGGGTCCATCACCATTTGCAAAGTTGCTAAAAAAAGGTCCTTAGAGGGTCCCAATTCTACTTGCTTGGCTCCATTTTCTTGTGGGCAGGTGGGCCGGCTCAGGAAGACATGTTCTCTAGGATCCTACTGGTTACACATCGACATGGCTGCTAAGTCCCCACACCTGCCCTGAACACACTTCACCCACAGCCATGGCGGGTAACCGTTCCCATCACGTGCCCGCAGCCTGTCTGGCTGCCTGCTGCCTCGTGGTCAACCTCGGACTGCCAGCCACATCCTGACTGGGAATCCCAGTGTGCCCACCCCCTGTGCACAGGCAGGTACTTTGTTTCTGATACGGGAACACCTAAGATTGAGAATGGTTTTCTCTTTTACGGGTTGGAACAACATGCTTTCCTGGGCATGGGGCAAGGGTAGTGATGCCACAGCAAGACAGGGAGGCTGTGCCCAAGAATGTGCCACACACATGGACACTCTCTGCCCGTGTCCAGGCACAGGGCAGGCATGGTCCTGCGATGGTCCCAGACAAGGACTCCCTGTGCTGGGCTGAGAGGAAGGAGGGAAGATGGGAGCCGGGAAGGATAAAGCCACCTCTGGACACCCACTCTATTGTGGAGTGAGTGACCACAGCAGTTCAATGCCGAGAGAGGTCAGGCACTATGACATGGGTGCCCCCCCAAAATCCTCACTCCCTTTCCCCCCTAATGCTGTCTCTCACCTATGCAAAGACACCACCTTTAATTATTATTTTTTTTTATTAAAATACTGTTATACCCAGTGGAATGCGGCAGCAATCCTGGTACAGGGTGGCATAACAAAACAGCCATGTTTACATTTTAAATATTTACGATAACTTAAACATACAGACACACATCATGGTCTTTGGCAGAAAAACATTCACAGCACAAAAAATACTTTAAAAGAAATACCAAATATTAATCCAAAATATATTAAATTGTTTTTTTCCTTTCACAATATTTTTTTGCCTTTTTTTCTTTTTTTTTCTTTTTTCTTTGTAAACAATGCACATGAACCAAATGTATTTTTCAGCTTTAAAGAGGGATAGGGGGATTTAAAAAAATATGCAATTGTCCAGCAAATGCAAATGTTTAAAAAGGAAACTTGAGGAACCATGGGAATAAAACAACACATACAGAACCTAAAAACTGTACAGGAAAAAACAAAGATTCAAAGAGAACTAAAAACAGTCAAGACAAACGGCTAAAATCCACCAATCGCTCCTGGGCTGAGTTGGGGGACTCTTTAAGACCATAGGTCAAAGTCCCTGCTGCTGGCAGGTGCCATGTGGACGCTTCACTCTAACTCTGAAGCGCTGGCCCTGCTTCAGGGTGCTGGGCACGGGTCGCTTGAGGGGCCAGCCTCACGGGCGCCATTGTGTGATGGGGGCTCCCTTCTGAGGGCTATTTGAGTCACATCTTGTAGCTCATTGACTAGTTTTCACCGCATGGCTCCCTCTTGCAATCCTTCCAGGTGAAAACAAAGACTCAGGTGAGAACAAGGCAACTTCTCCAGTTTCCTTCGAGAATCGGTGCTGGGAAGCCCACCATGGCAGATGTCTGTGTGGTGGCTCATTTCATCTGGCTCAGGGGTCATAACTAAACTGACAGGGTGTCCCAGGGACAGGAGCTGTGGAGCCACCTCAAGAGGCTGGTGATGGGGGTCCCATGGGCATTTAAAACGGGGCTCAAGATGGAGGAAAAGACAGCCAATCACCCATGGATCAACCAGTATCAAAATTCACGGACTTGAGTAGGGGAGATAACTGGGAGGCTGGTCAGAAGTTACAGGAACCGTGACAGCAGGGATGGGGGCACAGAATGAGGGGACAAATCTGAAGTAGCATGCTTCAATCTTCTGTTCCACAGAAAGGGAATTATATACAAACTGCACAGCGTACCCCAGTCCACTTAAATGGCCCCTACCCACTCCAAGTGAGCGGGTGAGGCTGTGGCTTCTGCAGGACTAACACCCTCAACAATCCCCAAAGGATGCAAGTCTTAGTGATCCCAAGGAGGCAGTGAGGAGCTGAGGAGCAGATGAGGTTGGCTGGGACCACACCCAGCTAGAGGGGAACACCATGGCCAACTTGATTACTGAACCAGCCCACCTGGTGTCCACGGGCAGCCATCCTTGGAAATCAGCCCCCAAACTCACACATCCCCTCCCTCCCTGCCTGAGTGCCAACATGGGGTGCAGAGGGGGCTGAGCTCTCTTCTGAGCTTTCAGTTGCTACCCCAGCAGCAAGACTTGGGCAGCGGGTAAAGGTTGAATCCTCATTCTGTACAGCCCAGGAGGAATGTAGGGCTAAGAGGCAGGGTCTTCTGGGGTGCAGATGCTCTCACAGCATCCCTCTCCCCTGCAGCATCCTTCCTAAGCTCCTGGGACCAGATGGTCAATGGGAACGAGTGCTCGGCTGGGTAAAGTGAAGAAGCAGCAGTTGGAGGGGGCTACTGGAATGGCCGAGAGTGGCACAGGGCAGAGGAGAGCAGGGAATGGTTCCCAGTCCCCCAGGCACCACCCCCTTCAGATCAGTATCTCCACCATGTCCGACAAGTCCTGGACTCTGGATGTAGCCACAGAGTCTAGAGAGAGAAAAGAACACAGGCACATGCCAGTGAGTATTTCTAGGATGTTTTAGATCCTGGCACATTTTTAAGATAGGATCTTTCTTCACCAACTTTCCCCACCTCAGCGGCCCAGGTACCCCAGTTCCCATAAGTTGGCCAACCAAGCACAATGCTCTGCTCCCTCTGAGCTCTCCACCCAGACCACCAACCTCCAACATGGAGACACATCTGTTTATAACTTTGACCAGTCGGAGGGCTTGGAAGGAGGGTGGAGAGCCCTGAGAGAGGGAGGCTGCAACATTCTTTTCATGTCTGTGGTTTTCTGAGATGGTGAGGCACAGGCTAATATGAAAGGGGAGCAAAAAAATTAAATGGTATCTTCTCAAATTTCTCCTTCCCGGACTCTTTTTCAACAAAGTCTTCTAACTTGAGAGTGCCATCAGGATACCGGCCAAGCTCCATTATCTTAGATGTTTAGGTTGGCAATTAAATATGCAAGGAAGACCAGGAAAGAGGAGATGAAGTGCCTCCCACGTGGTTGCTTTCTTTCTGAACTTTGGATCTGTCTGCAACCAGGGTTTTCAGTTCCTCTTTTCACGGTCCCAACCAGCCCTCACGCTCATATTGCGGTGGGCCATACTCCCTGCTCTGCCGGCACTGTGCAGGTCTCCCCATGGAGTGGGGGCAGCGAACAGGAGGGGTCTGGGAAGAAAGGGCCTGGTGCTCCAGTTCATGCCCCAGCACGCCCTCAGCCCTGCCCCACACAGAAGCCAGGGGAAGTGGGGACTTACCCAGCGAGGCTGTCCTCTGGCCACTGCTGCACCCCAGAAGGCTGTCAGGCTCCAGTCCCAGGCAGGCAGCGGCGCTGTCCGGGGGGGCGTCAGTCTGGGTGCTCCCATCTCTGCTCCCATGTTTGGAATGGGCAGGGATGGGAGCCACAGCCACTGCCTCCTCCGCAGTGGCCCTGTCTGCTGGAAAGGTAGGAGGCTGACAGTTATTGCCTCGCCCACAAGATGTAGCCTCCATGAAGAACACCTCAAGTTAACCGTACCTACTGGGGGCTCAAGGTGGTATATCGCTCTCAATTTGCGAGAACTTCAATTAAGATTAAAGGCTCCTGTTTCCAAATAGGAATAACTCTCAGGTTGGATTGGTTTCCAAACATTTCACGTGGCAGAACACTTCTTTGTAGATTAAATCTTAAAGCCAGCAGGGACTCTAGAATTTCTACGGCATCTGCTTAGAATGAGGAGTGGAGGGGGCTCTCCTAGAAGGCGCATCTGCACAGGAAGCTCTATCTTACTTAGATGGAGAGTGACTGGGGCCGAGGGTGACAGAATTTAGGGAGATGGGCGGCTACGGCCTTCTTCACAGCAGTGGGACAGCTGTGGGCTACAGGGTCACTGGAGCCAGAATATAAGCTGGCTCCCTGGACAAGAGGAAGGCTGAGAGCAACCTACCCCTCCAACTATGCCACCCACCAGCCTCCTCTCACCTGCAGCCAGCCTGGCAGGGGCATCCACTTGGCGCTCACTACAGGAGAGCCCTTGCCAGCCCTGGGTCCCTGCCGTTGCAGCCGCAAAGATAGATGGCACAGACTTGGCAGGCCGCAGGGAGCCCTGGGTGGCCTTGCCAGGGTCTTTCCTAGAGCGCTGCTGAAGGACCTTGATCACTGCGTCCTTCTCCAGGATCTGGGCATGGAGCACCTTTAACCTGAGTGTGACAAATCACGCCCACATCGTCAGACCCACAGATCTAGCGGCCTCCACCCTTCCCACCTTGCAAAAGATGGAGGGAAAGCCCTTCCTACAGCCGGGCTGGACCCTCTTGCCCTTGTAGCAGGGGCTGTGGGGGGCCCTTCAGAAATGTCATCACAGCTCCGACATTTCGTGCTCTGAAAATCACCAGTGCACGAGGCTCTGGGCCCTTCTTGCACCAGCAAAGGTAGGTTATCATGGGTGGGTTCTGGATTCATCAGATGATAGCAATGGCACACCCCTCATCCTGGAAGGCACAACCCCAGAGCTGCAGACCATCAAACGGGGTCAGCTGATGTGTTTGTGCTTTTGAGTCAGACATGGGTCAAGTGGAAATCTTGTGGGGCCTCTGAGATTGTTTTTGGAGAGAAAACACTAGCTATCCCCAAACCAGGACCTAGTCCACATTCCTTCTGGGGTGGTACACAGTGAGGACTCAGTTGGAAAGCCTTAGTCTCCGATTTACACGGGGGGGGGGGGGGGGGGGGGGGGGGCAGGTAGAGGCCCAGAGCCTTGGATGGCATCCAGCACCCTACAGTGGGGGCTCCTGGGCAGACCAAGCACTCAGTTGGTTTCTCTGGGAAAGAGCATGGGTATGATGCCTGGTGTGCCAAACACACGGGGTCAGCTCACAAGCAGGAGGGAGTGCTGAGCCGTGTGAGGAGAGGGGCCTGTTCACCAGCGATTAAGGACATGGAGGGACTAGACACTGCCACCCCCACCCCTGCCTCAGGTGCCCTGGCCTGCCACGCCCCACCTGCTTTCCATCTCCTGATGCCTGTGGCCACCGGCAAGCAGGCCCTCGTTGAAGCTGCTGCTGGGCGAGGGCTGGGGGGAGTGTCGGATGAGAGTGGTGTCGCGCTGGGCAGCGGCCGTGGCAGCGGCATCCATGGCAAACTGCCTCATGGCACGTTCCTCCAAATACTTCTGCTCCCACTTGGTCATGTCGGCCTCCAGCGCCAGGATCTGCTCCTCCTTCTCTCGCAGTTGCTCTGACAGCCGCAGGGCACTGAGCTCCGGGGACCCACCACTGCCACTGCTGGGGGTGCCTGCCTGTCTCTACAGAGCAAGGAGCACTGTGGTCAAGGGCGGAGGATGGGGTGTGGCGGCCACATCTCACCTCCACACGAGGCCTCTCACTTATGCACGTGCTTGTTCAACTATTCACAGCACGCTCCCCTGGTCCTGCTCCCACCCAGAGACAAAGGAGGCGGCATGGTCCCCACACCCCTGCCCTGAATCCTGTGGCCAAGGGTCTGCCTTGCATAGGTGGCCATACAAATTATCCTCCAAACTGGGAAAGGGGTGCTCTTAATAATTACACTGGGACAGTTAGTTGTAAATCAGGCAGAACTGGGCAAACCAGGAGGTGTGGTGAGCCTCACTCTGTGGGAAGGGGAGGGCTGGGCGTGGAGAGAGAAGTCTGTCTGGTTTGTAAACACCAGAGCTATTCACACAGTCCAAAGTGACGATAAAGACCATCTTCCCTCTTGATCTTGGGGAGATGTATAAAAGCTGGCTAGGCTTCTACATCAAGGTTCCTGACCTACTTTTTCTGAAGACCAAGGCGCCAACCCCTGCTGCTGCTGAGGACAGAAGCCCAAGTCTTAAGTCCCCAAGGCTGGCACACAGCCGAGTGGCAGAGCCTCTGCTAAGACTGCTGGTTGGGAGAAGCCTGCAGCACGGCTGGAACAGAGATCACTCTTGCTTTCCAGGAGGCTCCCAGGGGCTTCAGAAGGGGCCTCCTGGAATGCTGCCCTAGCTCTGCCACCTCCAGGGGTCTTCCCAGCTCACCTGCTGTGCACGCAGAGCTTTGAGTTCCTGCTCCAGGCGCGTCCGCAGACGTAGCTCCAGCTGCTCACGCTTCTCGCACGCGGCCTGCAGCTGCCCGAGTGCCTGCTGCAGCCGCTCCACCTTCTCCACGTAGGCCTGCTTCTTGCGCAGCTCCTCCTCGGCGCGCGCCGCCCGGCCCTGTGCGTTGCTCAGAGCCTGCTCCAGCAGCTCGGCGCGCCGCCGCTGGTCCTCGATGGCGCCGCGCAGCAGTGCCATCTCCCGCTCCAGCTTCTCCTGCTCCTGCTGCTGCTCGTAGCCTGCAGGGAGAGAGCGAGGCTGGGTCAGTGACAGCGACCACCCTGGCTGGCCCCACTGAGCGCCCACCATGTGCTGGGCTCTGTGCTGACCGCTGGATGAGCATGATTGCATCTTATCCTCTCAACAACCTGAGGAGTCAGGTACCATCTTTAACCCCATTCTGTAGGCCAGGAAACTCAGGCTCAGGTGAAGTCACAAGGAAATGGCAGCGCCTGACTCCAGGGTCCTTGCAGTAACGACTGGGCTATACTGCCTCTCTGCTAGGACATGGACCTGCCACAGGACAGCCCCAAATGCTGTCCACTTGTGCCAGGTGCCACCATTTCCAAACCACGTTCACAATCTCCCTTGAGCCTCATGATGACACTAGAGACTGGCCAGAGGGGAACTGTGATGCCCTTTTACAGATGTGAGAACGGAGGCCCAGGTGGACTGAGACGTATGTGGGGTCATTGTCCTAGTAGGAGAATGAAAGAATGGAAGAGAACCACCATTGCTGCACCTCGAGCCAGGCACTTACATCTCATTCCATTGAAGCCTCCAGTACCAGCCCCTTGAGGGAGGATTTGTGACCCCCAACTCACAGGGGAGGAAACAGGAGGTGAATGGTGCTGCCGGGACGGGAACCCAGGGCAGCCTGGCTCCAGACGACCAGTCTGCTTCCAGCTGTGGTGTGAGGCCCTCATACCCAGAGACCTCCCAAAGTGGGCTCCAGGGCTCATTCTGAGGAACCAGGGCCCCCAGTTGAGCACCACATTTCCTTCCATGGTCTGGGGAGACCACTGAGACACGGGCAACCGGCTCATAAAGAAACGCAAACTTCACCGCACAATGAAAATGACAATGGTCCAAAGATTTGCATTTGAGGTTCCAGCCATCCTGACTTTTAAATTATCTTGTTACCTGTCCAGGAGAACTCTGCTCAGAGACCCTCTCCATATAGCCAGGCCTGGAGAGGCCTGAGCCAGACCACTGAGTCTACTAGTTGATGCTCTAGGCTTAAATTCGCCTCCCATGCGCCTGCCCCTTGGGACTCCCAGGCTGGCACCCAGGAGTGCGACGGCTGCCTGTCTGGCTGGAGGGCAGAGGGGGACGGGGCTGTGGGGCGTGCCTGATGAACTCAAAGGCACTGTCCCTGGAACAGCACTATCACAGCACACTGGAATCTTCTGCTGTAATGGAATTGTTCTCTACTGTGCCGACCTGTGCAGTAGCCACTAGGCACGCATGGCTAGTGAGCACTTGAAATGTGGCTAGTGCAAGGAAGGGACCGAATTTTTCATTTTATTTAATTTTAATCTTTGGGCCACGTGTGCCTAAATACCTATCGTATAGGACAGTGCAAGTTCTGGAAGAGAAGAGTCAAGGCTTGGGACCCAGCAGGCAGAAAGGAGGATTCATTGACTCAGGACCCGGAGGCAGGAGAGGGAGGACACAGGCGGCTCAGGTCAGCTCTGGCTCACTCTGGATTTTGGAATGCTGGGCCCAGGCTGGCCTCATCCTTTGGCGTGGAGGGAAAAGATGGGGAAGCTCAACAATACTGAAATTAAGCCGTTCCTCCTGCACCAGCTTCACATCCAGTGAGAGGGGAG